CCCCCACCCCAGATCAGAAGCAAATCGTACCCTCTGGTGTTTTAGGTCTTTTGGAAAACACTTTGGAGTTTTATTTTGTTTAGTGCTATAATTTCCTTCTGTCTTATCAATATGATCTTTGTCACTTGCAGAAGCTGTAGCCAAAAAAAACAAAAAACACCTTGTTTCATTTTCTATTCTAGTCTGAGCCCTATTGATGGAGGTGGGACCAGAACTCCTTATGTAAAGGTTTATTACTCATTTGTCTTGTATTTGCTACCATATCACTGTAAAGAAAAAAATAACACAATCAGCTATTTTTTCATTTTTTACTTCCAACAATTTTAGATTTTTTTACTTGATATATATACAGATATATATATATAAAGAAAAAGCTATATTATATCTAGTTGTGTATTGGAACTTGTTTATGGGGTTTTTTTCCTTTGTTTTTACCCACTGGAAAGTGAACAGTGCAACTCATGTATTTATAACCTTCATCCTTGGATAATATCATAACATGGAGGAGCAGCACTGCAGGATCTTATCCAATATTCATGATGTTGTTTCAGTCAAAGGTCTCTGTTGCTATGACATGGGAATTGGCAAAAATCTCATCCAGTTCTGTGGCTCTATTAACTGAATTGTTAGATAATCATCATAACACATCTGGAAATCCCTCCTGACCTTAACTCAGTATGCAGTGCTGGTTGATGTGAATTATGATTTATAGGGCTCAGGTGCAATGATTTATTGGAGAAACTGAGATTCTGACTAAAAGGTTGTCCTCTCTGTCAAATATTTACCACAGTATACTTGCCAGTATAATTTCATGCACACTATAGTCACGATTCCAGCATAATTTATTTATATTCCCCTATAGAAAGCATTCTTCTGTTTTAAAGACACCTCTCTCAGTTTCTCACATTGCACCCAGCCTGAATGACAAACACAAGGCAGATTCTGGGAGCACCCTCTGAACTCATTATCCAATAACTGTAAAAGAAACCATTTACAGGCCTATTCAAACCAAGAAACTAACTTTTTCCCCCTCAAAAAGACTGCAAAACAAGTATTCTGCCTAGTTCATCTATATATATAAGTACCTTTCCGCAACATAGCATTAAAAATTTCGAGATGTTACAAAACAAGTCATGCAAGTGTAATGTGTTGGGTGGTTAAAAAAAAAAAAAAAAAAAAAAAAAAAAAAAAAAAAAAAAAGATGAGTTCTCAGCAGTGAAAATGAACCTGCAATCTTGTAATCAGTACTATAATTTTCCTTAGGTAAATAAATTCCTGGAGGGTAGGGGTATAATGAAGGTTCCAAAAATATGTAATAAAAATATTAAATTAAATCTTCCAGATTTCAATATCTTCTGCCTTCAGATCTGGCTTGTTTCATCAGACTGCTTTCTGTAGCTTCTATTACCAAGAAATGAGGAGTGCTGATGCACCAGGGAATTCATAAATGTTCATTTGCAAAAAAGAAGTTTTGATCAATACGTTGGATTTGCAGACACCATCATTGATGGATCTGGGAACTTCAGTATCAATGGGACTGGAGTCACAAAGTCTTTAGTGGACTGACAGCAATCTTTATTTGGCCACCCATTTACCAGCATCCCCAGTGCCAGCATGGATGAGGGGATGGAGACAGCAGACCCTATCCCTGCTGCCTCAATACTCCACTGCTCTGCTGCACAGGCATAGGACTGTCAGTATTTTTAGTGGTACTGCCATGTGGGGCCCCAGGGATTCATTGCCTGGTGTCCACAATATGAGGGGTTTCAGTCTGCAGATGCTCATTTTTGCTACAAAATCTTATCCTGCAGGTTCTGCTGAGAAAGGAGATATCCAGGTGAAGCCCTCGGAGCCACAGAGATGAGAAGGCATTGCAACCCATTTCTAGACAGCCCAGATGGCTCCCAGGGGGCATCTTTCTGTATAAACTTGATTTTCTCCCTAGCAGAGAGGTTTGATCTGTATTCAACGTTGCCATCCTCAGTTGTACCTTGTCCATCTCCCCACCATCTGCTCAGTCACCGACACCGAAGGAAGGACCATGGTGCTGATCATGATTCCCAGACCAGGAATGATGCACAACCTTGACAGCACAGAGCTGTGGTGGATTTTCCACACCGTCACCAACATTGCTGTTGGCCATTTACACAATGATTTACATGCCTTGTGATAAAGCAGCTCTTTGGTTGCGTGTGTGACATTTTTGGTGCCTGTATTTGTGTGCTTTTGTTCTGTGACAGGGAAGCTGATTGTTCCTGACATTTACACATCAAACGCTGCTTTCAACACATCGAGCCATAAAACATTTCACCAGAGCTCCTGTGGGTGAAACATCTTGACGCTGTTGCAGGCTATAATCATTTTGTTGACATTAAGGGAGAGATCTGTGGGATAGCAAAACAACTTGAGTAATTGGACAGAGTGAGGTAAAACAATAATTTTGAAGGGAATTATCCATCTGATCCCTGGCACAGTTAACCCCCTACTGAAGTGTTAGCACTGCAAACATGAATTTTGACAACTCCTGCTGCCACAAGGAGAGGTGGTGGTGTTTCAGCAGGGATGTTAGTCTGTGCTATTTCTTTCTCTACTCCATTTTAATATCATGTTTATCCCCTGAAAAAGGAATTGATGTTCCTGTAGGCAGCTCGAATGAATGAGAAAAACATGGCAGTGAAATTCATCAATCAGGCAAATCTACCCTCTTTCCAAGACTTGTTCTGACTCTTCCCAGCACAAACATTTCATCTCTTGATGTCCCAACTGGGAATTTGGGGCAGCAAGGAACAACCTGTGCTGAAAAAACCTGGAATAGAGAGGTACAATATGAAAAAAGTTGTGCAGTATTCACAGGCATCAGAAGCCTATGACAGGCATTCTTGTGGGATTTACAGACTTCATAAATATTTCAGGTACCAAATTCACATGGCCTTTTAATAGTTGTTATTTTCTTAATTAGATTATTTATGTCAGGCCTTATTTCTGTTCTGGAACATCTAAATCTGAAGTGTGAACATCCCTGCTGTAATACACAGAAACTTGGCACCCTGCATCAGATTTACTAAATGTCACCAGCTAGGACAACAGAGAGTTTATTTTGATTTAGTTTCCTTAATTGAGGAGACATCACTTTATCTCACAAAATGTACCCAGAGTGGAAGTGTACATGTCTCCAGTGTGAGTTTGGGTGAATACAGCAAGGAGAGAGGGCTCAGGATGCACAGAGCCTGCACATCTCAAGAAAACACAAAGTCCCACAGTCCTGAGACAAGACTGGGGATGCTGCAGGCTTCATGTCTTCATCTCCATCCTCATCACCAGCCACAGAAGAGTTCAATGGAAGAAGCTGCTGAGAAAGATCTGGCTGGTGCAAGCCTGGTCCAAGAGGACTCCTCCACTTGTGGGACTATAAAAGCTGTGACCTTACAGCAGTAAAATTGTAAGAGTATAACCTCTAAAGAGAATGGCAGTTTTAAGGTAATACCACCTTAACAATTGTTCAGCTAATTTCCCTTCTCATATGCTCATGCCCTTATTAAAATATCTGCAGCCTTTCAAGGGGATTTTACCAATGTCTGTGCAGCAACACAATTTTTCCTCAGACTCAGCATCTGAGCACAGTAGCATCAGCTCTCCATTAGCCGCTGTACTGCGCATCATCCATCAAAGATTTGGGAAAAAAACCCTCACTTTTCTGCTCCACTGAACACTTGTCACTTCCCAGCACTCGATTTTGCAGAAGAAAACCAGGCACAGTTTGTGGTGTACCCAAACATCACAACTGGATACAAACTTTGCCAAATTGTTTTTGTTGTGCTGGAGTGAAAAGCAGAGGTAAACATCAATTACTTTGTTTCAGTGTTTTGAAAACAAGATGTTTCCATTTTTCAGTTTGAATTGATGTTGCTTGTAAAATCCAGGGGTGAGGGAAGGTTTTTTATTAGGAAAACTTGAAAAATAAATATGAGTTCCTCTGATGCGAAACAAAACTCTCAGAAATTGCTCAGTTCACTGAATATTTTGAGGTGTTTTTTTTGTCTTGAGGTTGACCAGCAAAATGTTTCCTTTCTCTCATTTTTCTCTCCCATCAGTGAAGTGCAGAATTGGTCAAATGGATGTAACCAGCAGCAGTCCCAGTTCAGCTGCAACCATGCTCATGTGGGTGATCATCATCTCAGGGGTCATCACTATGAGTAAAGCAAAGCACAGCACCTACGTCTAAGAGTATAACAGCTACTGAGTTAGGAGGAACCAGGAAAGAGGAAAGGAGCATTTTTCCATTAGTACCCTTGTGGGGCTGTGGCCACCAGACATCAGCTCCTCTCCAAGTGCAGACATCCCTGCAGAAGATGCTGCTGCTCCAAGGAGCCATTTATGTACACATACTCTGTGCATTTTAAACCAAATCACCTTAATTTTATTTATTTATTTACAAAATGGAGCAGGGTCAGGCTATGCTATTCATGAGCTGTTGCTAATCAGGGAGATCCCTGCAGGCAGAGCCCATGGCTACTCCCCCTGGGCAAGTGGACTCCATGCCCTGTTACACCCAGGAGTGCAGCCAGCACAGCACTTGCCCCATTTTGAGCTGTTTCTTCC